TTTTTTGTCGACATTGTTTTTATTTTAATTTAACTCAACACTCTCCAAAAACACAAACGTAATCTATGCTATCCCGTGTCACACTAGCCACAAACCAGTGTTTCCCAACGTGGGGTCCACGCCCCACAAAAGGCAATTGGATTGCTAAGGAGGGCAATTCGAAAATGGACTTGTCCAGAGTTTAAGTTAACCGTATAGCCGCTGTATATGTTAGGGAGACATAAGAATTTTAGAAAGGCTTAGGTGGGGCATAGCACAAAAAAGGTTGGGAAACACTGCACTAAACTATTGTGGCGGTACGCTATATTTCTGTAAATATTACTTTTAGTTACGTTTCGTTTCTTCTTTCTACCCTTGGTTCTATTGTTCTATTTTTTTCTAGAACTTTCTTATCTATTCCCTGTCCCTTGGGTGGGATGAGCAGTTCCTAGAAATTTGAGGAGCAAAGGTGTAAAGAGGAGCCGGAAAAAAAAGAGAAATGATGTAACAGGTCATTTTTAAACCGGACTGCAGAGTGTACGGACGAGGTGTATTTTCAATGACCAGATAGTTCAGAAATAAGTTCAGAAAAAAGTTCCTGTTTATAATAAAATAATTAGGATTTTTCCTTCCACATATTGACGACTGTGGAAGGAAAAATCCTAATTATTGAAGAAGAGAACTGACTGACCAGTTATAAGGGAAGGACGTGTTTTATCCCACCGAACAGTACGCATAAAGAAACAAGCCGTAAAAAGGGACAAAACCCCCAGATATTCCTATTTCTATCTTACCTACCATTTTTTCTGTCTTCTTAATTCTATCCCTTTTTCTGTTATTAGTGTTAAGTTAGTGTTTNCATGACAAAATATCCGGCAAGGATTAAGTAAATATTATAATTGATACTCACCTTTCTATATATAATCGTGCAAAAAGCTATCTTTAATTTCATTCCAATTAATTCTGTTATTATAAAACTAGCATTATATGATACCAAATAAATCGCAACCATGACAAAATATCCGGCAAGGATTAAGTAAATATTGTATGAATTCCATTCCGACCTATTTTCAAAATAATGTACTGTTAATCCTAAAAAGTATAATTCTCCTGCAACTACCGCCGTTTCCTGCAAATATACGTAAATATCAATCATTTTAATTATTTTAATATATGATTAGCGTANTATGAATTCCATTCCGACCTATTTTCAAAATAATGTACTGTTAATCCTAAAAAGTATAATTCTCCTGCAACTACCGCCGTTTCCTGCAAATATACGTAAATATCAATCATTTTAATTATTTTAATATATGATTAGCGTATAAGCAAAACAATTGTGAAGTACCTGAATCAATGTAAGTAAAGTTAATGTTAAGAATTTCCATCCAACTAATCGTAATACAGCTTTCAGTATGTTTGGATCTTTCTTCTGTAGTTCTTCGTTCCACTCTCTGATAAAATATTGCAATGAAACGTAATAAATTAAAACAATATTTTTAATAAATATTTTAATTATTCTTAATTTATAACTTATTAATAGCGCTTTTAATACTATTATTTTATTATGAAAATACTATAACGATTTATTAATCCGGCACCAGTTAATATGAAGTCTGTCAATTAATAATTATTCGTGCTAATAATGTTCAAATCAAAATGTGTTTGAACATGTAGTGTGCTAAGACTCCAAGAAACAAGCGAAACCGATTTGAAGAGTGAGGCTGTGCGACGTTGCTATATGTCACAAGATCGATGTAATCTTAACTCAGCATAGTCATATATATATATATGCGCCGGGCTCATCTGCTAGTGTATATATACACTAGCAGATGAGCCCGGCGCATATATATATATATGACTATGCTGAGTTAAGATTACATCGATCTTGTGACATATAGCAACGTCGCACAGCCTCACTCTTCAAATCGGTTTCGCTTGTTTCTTGGAGTCTTAGCACACTACATGTCCAAACACATTTTGATTTGAACATTACTAGAATGATTTATTATTAATTGACAGACTTCATATTAACAGGTGCCGGATTAATAAACCATTATAGTATTTTCATAATAAAATGATAGTATTGAAAGCGCTATTAATAACTTATAAATTAAAAAGAATTGAAGTATTAATTAGAAATATTGTTTTAATTTATTACGTTTCGTTGCAATTTCGTTATCAGAGAGTGGAACGAAGAACTACAGAAGAGAAATCCAAACATACTGAAAGCTGTATTACGATTAGTTGGATGGAAATTTTTAATACTAATTTTACTTACATTGGTTCAGGTACTTTACAGTTGTTTCGCTTAAACATTAATCATATATCAAAATAATTTAAATAACTGATATTTATGTACATTTGCAGGAAACGGCCGTAGTTGCAGGAGAATTATACTTTTTAGGATTAACAGTACATTATTTTGAAAATAGGTCGGAATGGAATTCATACAATATTTACTTAACCATTGTCGGATATTTTGTCATGGTTGCGACTTATTTGTCTTCACATAATACTAATTATATTATGACAGAAATTATTGGAAT